GACTCATGTACAAAGCCGAGCATGGAAATGCCTGAGCAGTTTTTTGGCCTTGTGGAGAATTTGACACAAGCACATTTGCTGCAGTTGATGCCAATCCACTTTTCAAAGCGTGTCACGTACTCCTGCAGGCCCATAACCGCAGTGTCGTCGGCGTGTGTTGCGATGAGCATGTTATCATCGTCAGCTTCGGTACAGCCCCAGGAATCTGGCATATCTGACGTGTAGAGTGAGTAAAGTGTCGGGCCTAGTATACTGCCTTGGGGTACACCGGCTGAGACTGGACGTTTTGAAGACTTCTCACTATCGACAGTCACACTGAATTTCCTTTCCGATAAAAAGCTCTGAATGAGGAGGAAAAGCTGTGGCGTTAGTATAATCTTCAGCTTACTTAGGAGACCGTTGTGCGATACCCTATCAAAGGCTTGTTGAATGTCCATGAACACAGCAACTGCATACATTTTGTTATCCATGGCTCCCAGAGCAAAATTGAGAACGCGGTGTAGCTGTTCAGGAGTACCGTGACTTTTTCGGAAACCAAACTGAAATTTTGGAAAAGCTTTGCTCACACTTTCTAGTCCAAGGATCCGATCCAATATCACTCTTTCCATCATTTTGCCCAATGCAGGTAAGAGACTTATTGGCCTGTATGCGTCTACTTCGGTGGGTTGCTTGGGAATCATTGTGATAATAGCACTCTTCCATGTACTTGGATAATGACTCAGCTTTAAGACGCTGTTGAACAGCAGGACTATAAAGTAGTGCTTTTTTGGGAAGAATTTTGATCGTTTTGTTGTCCAGGAGATCCTCACCTGGAGCTTTTTTGTTTTTGAGCTTTCCGATCTGTGTCACAACCTCTTCCAGTGTTACAGGCCTTGTGGGCAGGGCCATTTGAAAAGGTCTGTCCAGACGCATTTGCACAAGCATTCGATTTTCTATCGGAGTTAGGTTTACCGGCTTAAATCTGTTCTCTAAACAAAGAAATCAGCCTTCTGCTGACTGGAGCGACACCAACCACCAGCGGGATTTCTGATAGGAGCCTTTGGGGTGATCTGTCTCTTAAACCGATTCGTGAGCTTCCATAGAGAGTAGTTAGTCGATGCATCTGGACTCGCATTTTCCAACATACAGTCAATTTGGTCTTGTTTGTTCTTTGTCAAGACTTTACTTAGGCGATTTGAAAACCTTTTGTAAATGTTGTAGATTCGCTTATCTCATGTTATTGTATACTCGCGACGAACTTTCCTTTTTAGCTGTATAAGAACGAAAGCATTTTGTGGGAGCAGGTTGGTTTTATTTTGGTCCGTCGGATGTCTTTGATTTGGGCTAGCAGCCGTCGCAGCAGTGTATATTTTTTCCTTGAAAGCTTCTGCTTCTGTCTAGGGTTTCCTTAAATTTTTCAACTGAGGAGCCGGGCGGTAGTATTGTTTTCCTTTTGATTTTGTATTGCTGTGTTTGACTTAGAGTTGCCACAACTGACAAATGATCGGAGGATAGCTAGTATTTTGTTTCGATCGAGAGCTTATTGACTGGTACTCCATTCAAAATAAAAAAGTTCAGGGCTGTTGGCGTAAGTCTGATATTGGAAGAATAAAAGGTAGGTTCCCCAATGCAGGCTAAGAACCACCTTGCGGAATGCCTCAGCACTGTCAGTGTATATGCGATTAATTCCGTATCTCATATTGATTTGCAGAGATGATTTCATCAAGGGTCCGTTCCAGAGTGAGAATATTGGTTACCTTTGGAACACATATTGGTGGAGGTTTCGGCTTGGTCGATTCAGGTTGGCTTGAGCTATGCCTCTGGCCATTAGGATCAAACGATTCAGCATTTGTCTCCATATCCTCAATAGAGTTAATTTGCTCAGTAGTCCATTGGACGTCGAAGCTTAACCTGAATTACCAATTTGGTTTACATTGCCTTTACTTTTCTTGATGCTCTCTGGCTCTTTACTGCAGTTTGAATTGTTTCGTTTCCTGCGAAGAGAAGCACTTGGTGCTTGAAACGAGCACCCAATATCGGGAACTTTTTGGAATTTGTTAATTCCTGGAGACGTTAAGTGGTGGTGCCAGAACTGGCACTTGTAGCTGTAACGGTGTTAGTTACAGGTGTTGCAGAGCTAGTTTTAACAGCTTCTACGCTTTGTTGTAGAAGGGTGTCCACATGTCGTCGAGCCAAATCTCTTGCAAGCTTGGCTCGAAGTTTCGCGGAAGATTGGCCAGCGATTTCCTTCATCTTCTCAGATCCGGACAGCTCTTTCGAGAGTGGCGGATAAGAGATGTGTTGCTTTTCATTTTTAATTAACTATATTTTCGATTAGGAAAGTAATAGAAGTCAAATGCAAAATTTTCAAAAGTCTTTACTTCTTATCTCTCGCTGCGCAGTGGGAGCACAAGCGAGAGACAAGACCTAGCCCAATGGGCAGAGTCGTACGCAACGCTTACACTGCCGCCTGGGTGTTGAATTGGTAGAACTCTTTAAAGACACCGTCGGACGGCGTCTAAAAATAGATTGCGCGCAGATAAGCACAACAGAAGAAATTGGAGATCAATCTTTGGTTGATAATTAGGAGCTTAACACGACCATACGAAACAAGTGCACAAACTCGACTGACAGTAAGCTCGTAAGAACAAAGCTTCGGTCATACTAGAAAGAATAAGTTTTTTACGCTGCCGTAACTGTTCGTTGACCTGAGTACTAAGCTAAAAAATGAAAAACTTTAGTAAATATCAACTGGACCAGTCGTTATCAACTTTACGAAATTATTTTTGGGTGCAGAATTAGTTTAACTTTTTTAGCATATCGTCAAAATCTAAAAAGATGGTAAAGTTGAAAAGTCTCCTATATGCGACGTGCTGTATGATCCAGAAAATCTTGTTATGAGCCTACCGCTTTCGTTTCTCATATTTAAATATAAAGTGGTCTGCATTTTTATTTGGACTCGCAATTTAATGGTATTGTTGCTTATTTTACAATATTGCTGCTTTGTCAACCCATTTTCAATTGAAAATTCCAGTGAACTATTTGAAATTTAATTCATACAAAGTTTTTGATTTTAGATCTTTTTTTAACAAGACGGCAACTTCTGGTTCCTTCGAATATTTTCTGAAACCAAAGCAGAGTGTTTTTCATAATTGGTATTTTTTATTCAAATAGAAACAACCATGTCAAAGGCAAGCCACCGTTAGAAAACTGATTTAAAACGCTGCAACATGCGACTGCATTTCGGGAGGTATCTGTTAACATAGTTAATAAAATATTTAAGTTTTTTTTTATATTTACACTTTTTGTTCTTCAGTTAGAAAGCGTGCAACGACTGAGAGCAAGAGAAAAGAAAACTTAAAAAGGAAGCAACAGATTTACAATAACAAACCAAGCACCAAATTAAATCACCAAAATGGTTTAATTTTTTAACACAAATTAATCACAATACATTAAAGAAATTCAACCCATAACAACAGTGAGATTTTACATAAAACATAATGTATTTTAGCATTTAAAAAAAATGGAAAATGTTATGATAAGTTATATTTTTAAAATGCTTAAAGGTCTTTGTTACTATTTTAATGGTTTATAAAATAAGAAATAACAAAGAATAATTTTCAAAATTTGAAGTTTTAAATCGTGCAAAAATTCTTTATACGAACATGGCTAGATCGAATATCTATTAATAAGCCCCGAAAAAATAGGCAGTCTTTAGAATTCTTTTTCTGAAGAAAGTACTAGATAGAATGTTTTGAATCCTTTTGCTCATAATAATGTAACTATTCATTTTATTTAAAGTTTTTTTTACAAAAATATTTAGAAATAACGGGACTATTGGCTCAAAAAAAGTATTACAACTGCTGGCATAATTCCTGGCGAATGAGTGGCTGAAATCGAAAAATTCAAAAAGATTATAAAGCTAAATATGGTGTTATGGACCTGCGTGGTCCTGCGTGAGTCGGGCTGCCCCAGCTAGCTCGATTTTCCAGGGCCGTGGTTCCCCTAACCCTGCCCTCTCACACAACAACAGAAAACGTTGGACTTTCATGTCCTACGTTTCGCAACACTCTATGCTGCACCGTCGTTTTTGAATTTAAATTTCAATTAACGAACAAATAAAAAACAAGAAAGAAAGTAAACTTCGGCAAGCCGAAGTTCATATACCCTTGCATCTATTGCATGAATTAAATACTTTTGAAAACATTTAAATTATGATTTACTTGAGTATATGCTGAAAAACATTGAAACTATGATGATTTGCAGCTCAATTATTATTTCTATGGGAGCTATATGCTATAGACGTCCGATTTTGATAAAATTTAAAACATAATTCTGAAATAATTAAACATTGCTATATGTCGAAGAACTAAACAAAAAATTAAAAAACAGAAAAGTTATAATTTTTTTTCATTTATTTTTCCGATTGTTCCTATGGGAGCTATATGCTATAGTCGTCCGATTTTGATGAAATTTTAAACATAATTCTGAAATATTTAACCATTACTATATCTCGAAGAACGAAACAAAAAATTAAAAAACAGCAAAGTTATAATTTTTTTTCATTTATTTTTCCGATTGTTCCTATGGGAGCTATATGCTATAGTCGACCGATTTTGATGAAATTTAAACCGTAAATCGGAAATATTTAACCATTACTATATGTCGAAGAACTAAACAAAAAATTAAAAAACAGCAAAGTTATAATTTTTTTTCATTTATTTTTCCGATTGTTCCTATGGGAGCTATATGCTATAGTCGTCCGATCCGGCTCGTTCCGACTTATATACTACCTGCAATAGAAAGACAACTTTTGGGAAAGTTTCATGCAGATAGCTTTAAAACTGAGAGACTAGTTTGCATATAAACGGACGGACAGACGGACGGACAGACGGACGGACAGACGGACATGGCTAGATCGACTCTACTAGTGATGCTGATCAAGAATATATATACTTTATAGGGTCGGAAACGTCTCCTTCACTGCGTTGCAAACTTCTGACTGAAATTATAATACCCTCTGCAAGGGTATAAAAATACACAAATATAAGTCTTTTAAACCTACACACATTTTGCAATACTTTGGGCTCCTCCTGCTGAACTGGAGGTCACCTGCTCATCCCTCCCGACCATGCAGACTGCCTTGAGCAACATACTTGCAGCAGCCCCAAATACATTTGTTTACCTTTATTTCTTTTTTTTTTATTGCACCATTATGTACCCCTTTTACTAATATCCCCCCTCTCCCATTAAGTAATCTTTAGTCCATGTTCATCTTTCTTATTTTTCTTTAATAATTCTTATTTACTAGTTTTTACAACATATTACCCTTTTGTGGACCCCAGTGTACGTTCTCGGGTTTCCCAAAATTTATATACTCCTCGACCCTGACCTACCGTAAGAGCTCTTGAGGTTGTTTATTCTCTCTTTACCAGGGATTAAAAAAGAACGTAATTGTATACGCAAAGAAAATGAATTTATATTATTCCGGGCTCAAATCCCCACGCTCACTTGGGCCAATCATGGATTTATATAAATAAAAATATAAATAAAAAAATACAAATAAACCAAACAATTCGACAATGTTTAAATATAAATTATATGGGTATAAGACGTTATTATACGTTTATGTGTAGATGTAAGTATAATGCATGTAGACAGTATGTATTCAAAGTGTAAATAATAAAAACATTTGAATAAGATGTAGATATTATGGCCTATGTGTAAATAAAAATAATAACCAAAAAAATGTAAGTAACCCTAATCATTAAATAAATAATCATACAATTTTACAACAAACACTACACGAAAAAACAATTAATTATTCAAAAAAATCTAATAACAAAAAAAAAAAAATCTGACTGAAGCCGACTGACTCCCGTTGCCGCCTCTTGGTAAGCGTGTCGGTCATCCACGCCGTAATAATTTTCTTCAAAAAAATCTCTGGCCGTCTTTATTGTCCGGACCTCACAAAAAAACTCGCCAGGCTAACTTGGGTGACCTGGCTGATTTTTAAAACTGGTAACTGGGTCTGATCGGCTCTGGAATGAAAAGCCCATAAGCATGGCCTCACTCTCGAACACCGATCACTAACCAAGTTTTTCGCCGCTTCAGGCTTCCCAGTCCTGCTTTCCTTTACTTGCAGCTCAAAAAAAAATTGTCGTATCAAGGTAACGGGATTATGTAATCCGCACGTGCACCACAAAAAAAACTTTACTTGGCGAGGGGAGCGCAGCAGCCTTAACGCCTTGACCGTGACTTTCGTTATGGGCTCTCCTCTTCTCCTATCACCTTCCCGAACTCCGGCTCTCGTGTTTCAAATTTGCCGGATCAACGGCCGTTTAACATTTGGGGTGACCATAAAAACAACTCAGTATTTTCAGTATAAAATCCCCCCTGCGCCGACATTCGATATGGCTATCGATAGTCCGGCCACAACAATGGGTAATTCTCTACTATCGAAAGCGACATTCGTACACAAAATGAAAAAAAAATAAGCTCAAAATTTGATTTTTTTTTAAGGAGATTTTATTAGCTCTATATTTGGTGCTAAGACTTTCAGGATATCAAAAACAATCAAAGCCATTCACAGATAGAAGTGACTTTTTGGAAAACCAGTTCAAGCACTGATTTCAGCAGAACTTGATCAAAGATTCCAATGAAATTAATTTTAAAATGTTATAAATTGCTCGTTCTTAAAAAGTATTTCGTTTGACCTAAAATATTAATTATTTTTTAAATTGAATTTTAATCACTGTGACATTTTCTTGAATCACACTTTTAATGTTGTTTTTGTACTTTTGAAGCAATTAGATCTGCATAAAATGTATTTAAATTATTTTCATTTAAGTAAAATAATCAAAATATATATACTTTGCATATCCTTCCATTTTTCTTTTAACTTAACTTTAATGACAATCTTTAAATTTGTGTAGATGGCATAAACTAAATTGCAACTCCATTTATGTTGTTTTGCCTTCGTTGTCCTCTTTCATCTACACTAAAAAAAATATATAAAAACAAAAAAAAAAATTTTTGTTGCACGGGACAAACTTTAAGAAAATTTAAAAGTCTATGCACTGTAAGCAATGCACTAATCCAATTTTTTTTTAATTGGTTTTATGTCAAAATATATGTTTGGACCCCAAATTGTAAGCTCATTGGTCTAATACCTCTGATGCATTAACCACATATGCTATTTGTCACTGTTGCTCGGATAAGTAGATAAGAAATTCTTCGTGACTATTCTTTAAATATAAACCAAGATATAAATGCGCCAATATTACTGCATAACAACTCCCTTTAAGAAAATAAACAAAAATAAATAACTGCAATAGAAATGTTCAAAACAGAACTTGTTCGACTTTGCATTGAAAAATTTCGATATGTGTTATGCGAAATAAAAAAAATTTGCATATATTAGTTATCTTTAATCGATTCCCTATAAAAATATGTGAAAAGAACATACATATGATACATGGACTTTAAATTTTTTGGCTGCGGTTGACGTTTCTGCAAATTACCTATATATTTCACCTACGATCTTTAAAAAATATCAAATATAGACAAAATGGCATAGGTTTGAAAATAATGTTTTTAAATTATGTCAAATGGACAAGTTTTAACCAATCCATATTTGTAGGTCATTTTAGGTAGGACCCATTTAGGATGATTGAGTGTTAATTTGACCGATCGGTCAACTTGTAGTCAAGATATGATGTCAGCAGTTTGTAACGAATCACGAATAATTTAGAGCTCAGGCGAGATGGTGATATATGGAACTGAGCGCACGCGAGCGTTGGTCAGGCTGCTGCTTGTCGGCAGTGAGGAGGTGGTGGTCTTGCTGCAGATTCCATAGATGCCTTTTATGATTCTAATACTTATATTTGCGTGAAAGACAAGCTTACTAAAACCGGAAGATGAGAACTCATACAAAAATAGTGGAGAGGAACATTGGTTTCATTTAGCCCAAATAAAGTCTCAGTTCATCTCCGATGACTGAGGAGGTCTTCTGCCCGCCCTACCTATGGCCATCATACCCTTTTATTTTCTTAATTATTGATGAACCCTTATTAGGCCTAGATACCCTACTCTACAGAGGCTTCATGCTAGCTGCGGCAAAAATATAGGTGTTTAAAACATTATAAACATATGTATTAAAACTAAGACGAAATAATACTCTTAAAAATAGACATTAAAATTTTGGGTAAATAAATAAATAAATATTGGAATTGACATGCATTAACGTATATAACGGTAAATATAAATAATGATGAAAAATATATTAATAATATCAAAGTGCGATTAATAAAATTAACATTAATTCATGACACATTTAAATTCAATTTGGACAAATTAGTTGCTTAAGGCAGACTATTTGAAGGACGTAGTGCGTGAGGATAGGAAGACTTTAAAACGGCGATTGGGTTGCGTTCGCGCAAACATATAAATGCATTAAACTTCTTTTGGTTCTTTTGCTTTTGTTTACAGTTTTTTTCAAAGGGCCCTAGCGAACGGTAGCGTATGATTTATTTTTTTTTCTTTTTGTAGCAGAATTACTAAGAGGTTTGCTTCGAATGAATAAATATACGCAATGAAGGAACATTAATATTGGGATTTAACATCTTGAGCTCATCACTCACCAATTTCCGTTAAGCATCCATCGATGAAAGCGCTTTCGGCGACGGTAGTCTGCTGTTTGGGAGGAACTTAAAACTTTATTTATTTAAACATTTCCCGATACCGCTTAAGGAACGCTCGTACTTTTTTTCTTCTTTGGCTATTTTTTTGTTAATACAAGCCTAATTCATTTTTTTTAACTACCAATAAAATAACCCAAAAATCGCCACACATTCCTTGTTTTCACTCACTCGCTAGATCACTCACTCCATTTGTATACCGAAAGCTAATAGAATAAAAAAAAACTTAGACTAATTTAATTTCACTAATTTCTCCACATTGCTGCAGCTTTTTGCTGCCTTATTTTTTAGTCGGGGCTGAAGATAGTTTGATCAAATATTACGCTCCTTTTCTTAGTACGACGAAACCATCAACGCCACCGTCTACTTTTGCGAAACGCTTGCTTTCCCGCCGGACACTGATTTGATCGCCGGCTTCTTTTATGCTTCTGCCGGCCGTCCGTCCGTGGTCTTCTCCTTCTCCTTTTGGAGTGGCGATCTTTGGTAGCTTTTGCGCTGTGGTGGCTTCACAGCTCTGCAATAAAATATGGTGCCTGCCTTCGCCGATTTCACGGGTTGCGCTTGCCTTCGCCGACTAATAGAGTTGCTTCTTGGGACTTGGGGTGGCACCTTTTGGCCAACACCTATGCGGTAAGATGAGCCCCTTGGAAAATCCAAAATACCTCATTCGCTTCTCACTCACCCCTGGACTTGGCCGGAATCCCTCTGGGATCTTCCTTTTGGGCTCCTTTGCCGTGATACCTGTGCGGATGTTGGTAGTTGCCTCTGCTAATTGAGCACTTTCACTTCTGACTTGATTTTAAACACCACATTTTGACTCAACTAGCCACTTTGGATGCCCAATTAGGAATGGCGGCTAGTGACGCCGCAATTAAGGCGGCAACCTATCTCTCCACCTAATTGGAGAAATACTCTCACTCAGGGAAAGTCTGACAATTCGCCCTGTTACCCCGATTGATTTAACCCTGCCAGGCCACCGATTCTCCTCACCGAGATCTAGATGGCGCCACCGATGGACCATCTGCAGCTGCACCAAGCGCTACAAGTTAAAAAAAAAAAACAAGAAAGCAAGCAAACTTCGGCAAGCCGAAGTTCATATATCCTTGCAGCTATTTCAAAAACTAAATACTCTTGAAAACTTTAAAATTATGATTTACTTGCGTGTATGTTTAAAAACATTGAAGTTATAATGATTTGCAGCTTAATTATTCGATAGTTCCCATGGCAGCTATATGATTGTTTCTCTGCAAGGGTATAATTATATAAAACAATTAATCTTTAAACTCTATTGATCGTTTTTTGAGCACTCCATTGACAAGTCAACCATTTATTTATTTCACCTTTTGTGTAGCCATTATGAGTAATTACCTTCCTCCACCGAGCGTTTAATAAATCTCAAAGGGGCGTTCTTAAGCTCCAGCAAACCAGCGACTTACTCTTAATTGCAGCTAGTTGTTGTGATTATTATAGTGGGTATCTGGAAATAAGCTGGGTATGCACAACTAGATTGTGTTGCGCTAGAAATTTACTTCCCATTTTGTATTTAAATTATGATTTTTAAGTCGAAAGACTAATTTTAAGTGTATTCCCGGTATATCCCGGATTTTGAATGAAGACCATAGACAAGTTTTCTTTTTTGCCAAGTGTATTTTTGTAAGTGTCTTTGTGTTTACAAATAATAGTGCCGGTCGAGAAGAGCAGGGACAAGATCCAATAGAGTGGTGGGATGGTTTAAGTTTCGGTGGTGCAGTTCAGTAGTTGACTCCAGTATCCTCCTTGTTGGACATCTGTTTTCGAACTTTCAAGTGCTTGCCATCTGGAATACAAAATAAAAAAAATTAATGTATTTAAATAAATATTTGCTAGGTTACTACTCACCATTTGTCCAGTTTTTAATTGATTGAGAACTGAACTGCACTGCAAGATACGGTTGATCCTCCACTCAACTTGTTTGCCATTCGGTTTAAGTGTTTAACAGGGAATTTGAAGTCTACGTTCAATCAAGTATCAATCGCATTCAGTTGGCAAGCTTTGAAATTTAATTCATATATTTAACATAGCAAGAAAAAGTTGCGTTAATATTATTTACTTACTGCATGGTTAACCGGGTTTTTTGTACAATATCCTTTTATGTCCTTTAGCAAGCATTTTTTGTTGGGTTTTGTTAATTAAGAAAGTGTTTTTCAGAAATGTTATTTAACACTTTATGCTTAAAACTAAATTTGGTTTTTTTTGTATTGTTCAGAAGGCAATTTCCTGTTTGTTATTTCCCCGACATGGTTGTGTATACTGAACTCTGTAGGGACTGATGGGTGTAAGTAGAACTCGAAATTAAAAGCATGGATAGTTTGATCAAGAAAAAGGGAACAAATTTGAAATTTTCAGAAAATGAAGAGCCGATTGGATCAGAATATGATGAGGACATGATAAGTCCATGTAGAATTTTCGAAGTCCTTTTATATGAAACCCATATCAATAAATACACTTAATTTGCTTTCACATAACTAAAAAACAAGAAAGGGAACAGGCTTAAAATGCGATTCTGAAACTTCAAACCCTATGGTACCTCCTAGTCGAGTCTACCCAACTCCCAAGGATAGCCACCTGTTGCTGCTGACTGGATGATATTGTTGTAATACTGGGCAGAGCCCCGGGGCAGTCTTTATTTTCTTGGGTTTCGCCTCTTGTTTTCCCGCTCTCTGGTTGAGGCTGCCACTTAATTTATTTGTCACCGAAATTTAAACCGTAATTCTGAAATACTTAATCATTACTATATGTCGAAGAACTAAAAAAAAAAATTGAAAAACAGCAAAGTTATAATTTTTTTGTATTTTTTTGCGATTGTTCCTATGGGAGCTATATGCTATAGTCGTCCGATCCGGCTCGTTTCGACTTATATACTACTTGCAATAGAAAGACAACTTTTGGGAAAGTTTCATGCAGATAGCTTTAAAACTGAGAGACTAGTTTGCGTAGAAACGGACGGACAGACGGACAGACAGACGGACGGACAGACGGACATGGCTAGATCGACTCGCCTAGTGATGCTGATCAAGAATATATATACTTTATAGGGTCGGAGATGTCTCCTTCACTGCGTTGCAAACTTCTGACTGAAATTACAATACGCTCTGCAAGGGTATAATTATATAAAACAATTAATCTTTAAACTCCATTGATCGTTTTTTGAGCACTCCATTGACAAGTCAACCATTTATTTATTTCACCTTTTGTGTAGCCATTATGAGTAATTACCTTCCTCCAATCACCGAGCGTTTAATAAATCTCAAAGGGGCGTTCTTAAGCTCCAGCAAACCAGCGACTTACTCTTAATTGCAGCTAGTTGTTGTGATTATTATAGTGGGTATCTGGAAATAAGCTGGGTATGCACAACTAGATTGTGTTGCGCTAGAAATTTACTTCCCATTTTGTATTTAAATTATGATTTTTAAGTCGAAAGACTAATTTTAAGTGTATTCCCGGTATATCCCGGATTTTGAATGAAGACCATAGACAAGTTTTCTTTTTTGCCAAGTGTATTTTTGTAAGTGTCTTTGTGTTTACAAATAATAGTGCCGGTCGAGAAGAGCAGGGACAAGATCCAATAGAGTGGTGGGATGGTTTAAGTTTCGGTGGTGCAGTTCAGTAGTTGACTCCAGTATCCTCCTTGTTGGACATTTGTTTTCGAACTTTCAAGTGCTTGCCATCTGGAATACAAAATAAAAAAAATTAATGTATTTAAATAAATATTTTCTAGGTTACTACTCACCATTTGTCCAGTTTTTAATTGATTGAGAACTGAACTGCACTGCAAGATACGGTTGATCCTCCACTTAACTTGTTTGCCATTCGGTTTAAGTGTTTAACAGGGAATTTGAAGTCTACGTTCAATCAAGTATCAATCGCATTCAGTTGGCAAGCTTTGAAATTTAATTCATATATTTAACATAGCAAGAAAAAGTTGCGTTAATATTATTTACTTACTGCATGGTTAACCGGGTTTTTTGTACAATCTCCTTTTATGTCCTTTAGCAAGCATTTTTTGTTGGGTTTTGTTTATTAAGAAAGTGTTTTTCAGAAATGTTATTTAACACTTTATGCTTAAAACTAAATTTGGTTTTTTTTGTATTGTTCAGAAGGCAATTTCCTGTTTGTTATTTCCCCGACATGGTTGTGTATACTGAACTCTGTAGGGACTGATGGGTGTAAGTAGAACTCGAAATTAAAAGCATGGATAGTTTGATCAAGAAAAAGGGAACAAATTTGAAATTTTCAGAAAATGAAGAGCCGATTGGATCAGAATATGATGAGGACATGATAAGTCCATGTAGAATTTTCGAAGTCCTTTTATATGAAACCCATATCAATAAATACACTTAATTTGCTTTCACATAACTAAAAAACAAGAAAGGGAACAGGCTTTAAATGCGATTCTGAAACTTCTTCAAACCCTATGGTATCTCCTAGTCGAGTCTACCCAACTCCCAAGGATAGCCACCTGTTGCTGCTGACTGGATGATATTGTTGTAATACTGGGCAGAGCCCCGGGGCAGTCTTTATTTTCTTGGGTTTCGCCTCTTGTTTTCCCGCTCTCTGGTTGAGGCTGCCACTTAATTTATTTGTCACCGAAATTTAAACCGTAATTCTGAAATACTTAATCATTACTATATGTCGAAGCACTAAAAAAAAAATTGAAAAAAAACAAAGTTATAATTTATTTTGTATTTTTTTCCCGATTGTTCCAATGGAAGCTATATGATATAGTCGTCCGATTTTGATGAAATTTAAACCGAAATTCTGAAGTATTTAACCATTACTTTAAGTCGAAGAACTAATAGAAAAATTAAAAAACAGCAAAGTTATAATTTTGTTTGTATTTGTTTTGCGATTGTTCCTATGGGAGCTATATGATATAGTCGTCCGATTTTGATGAAATTTAAACCGTAATTCTGAAATATCTAACCATTACTATATGTCGAAGAACTAAGAGAAAAATTTAAAAACAGCAAAGTTATAATTTTGTTTGTATTTTTTTCCCGATTGTTCCTATGGGAGCTATATGATATAGTCGTCCGATTTTGATGAAATTTAAACCGTAATTCTGAAATATTAATCATTACTATATGTCGAAGAACTAAAAAAAAAAATTGAAAAACAGCTAAGTTATAATTTTTTTTGTATTTTTTTCCCGATTGTTCCAATGGAAGCTATATGATATAGTCGTCCGATTTTGATGAAATTTAAACCGAAATTCTGAAGTATTTAACCATTACTTTAAGTCGAAGAACTAATAGAAAAATGTAAAAACAGCAAAGTTATAATTTTGTTTGTATTTGTTTTGCGATTGTTCCTATGGGAGCTATATGATATAGTCGTCCGATTTTTATGAAATTTAAACCGAAATTCTGAAGTATTTAACCATTACTATATGTCGAAGAACTAAAAAAAAAATTGAAAAACAGCTAAGTTATAATTTTTTTTGTATTTTTTTCCCGATTGTTCTAATGGAAGCTTTATGATATAGTCGTCCGATTTTGATTTATTTAAACCGAAATTCTGAAGTATTTAACCATTACTGTAAGTCGAAGAACTAATAGAAAAATTTAAAAACAGCAAAGTTATTTTTTTTTTTTGTATATTTTTTCTGATTGTTCCTATGGAAGCTATTTACTATAGTCGTCCGATTTTGATGAAATTTAAACCGTCATTCTGAAATAGTTAACTATTACTATATGTCGAAGAACTATAAAAAAAAATTGAAAAACAGCAAAGTTATAATTTTTTTTGTATCTTTTTCCGATTTTTCCTATGATAAATTTGATCCTATGAAATTTAAATCGAAATTCTAAAATATTCAACCATTACTATATGTCGAAGAACTAAAAAAAAAAAAGTTATAATTTTTTTTAATTTATTTTTTCGATTGTTCCTATGGGAGCTATATGCTATAGTCGTCCGATCCGGCTTGTTCCGACTTATATACTACCTGCAATAGAAAGACAACTTTTGGGAAAGTTTAATGCAGATAGCTTTAAAACTGAGAGACTAGTTTGCGTAGAAACGGACGGACAGACGGACATGGCTAGATCGACTCGCCTAGTGATGCTGATCAAGAATATATATACTTTATAGGGTCGGAGATGTCTCCTTCACTGCGTTGCAAACTTCTGACTGAAATTATAATACCCTCTGCAAGGGTATAATAAAGAAACATTCCCAACACCATAAACTAAATGTATTACTTTTCGATCAGTATGATGACGAGGCGATTCGGTTTAGACATGTCTGTCTGTTTATTTAAAAACTAGAACAATTATAGCCTTCAGCCATATATGTATATATATAAACTCCGGATGGCCTAGTCAAGTTCCTTTTCGTTTTGGTTTGCTTCGCTAAAGCTTTTACCTCATTTTTCTTCCAGGCGAGTGCACAGCCACCTCCACGGGCGGCAAGCGGCGTACGATTGTTGGCAGCGGCAGGGCATCGTTCAAAAGCAGCGCAGCTAAGCAGGAAGCCTTTGGGAGCGATGGCGATGGCAACGGCAGGGGGGAGTTCGTCCTGCGACTGGACTCACCGCTGACGGCGATCACAGCCATTGCTGTGGCCATCTGCCTCTTGATCATCACGATATTCTCAATCATCTTTGCTGTTTTACAGGTAAGATAAAGATAAATGTCAGCTCAAGAGTTACAATTGATCAGATGCTAATCGTCTGCAATAACTAATATACACCTTTCAAACGGTTAGTGTATTTTAAGGTGTCGGTTTTACTTGCACTCTGTATGCAATTTAAATTTAAACCCGTTTACTACTCTTCATGATCAAAATAGATTGCGAACTGCAGAATTTCTCAGTTGAATCTCTTCTTTAATCTTACCAATCGAAAAAATAAATACAAAAATTATATTCTATTTCCTTCTGCAGCGCAATAGCAACCATGTATCAAGAAACTCAGTGCGGTATAGAAAAATAGCAAACACGTCGTCGAGCAGACGAAAGAACTTGTCCGCGAAGCCCACCAGCGATGCAAGATTCATTTTTAACATTGGCGAGGACGAAGATACAGAGGGTGATAATTCGGAGGACGAACTGGACGATAACGTGGGCACAGATATAAACAGAACAGTCTACGACAGAAAAGGCAAAGATCATGGACACGAATTTTACATTGAGAGTACAAATGATATTGATGCGATCGAGTTTCACTGCAAAGGAGCACAGAAAGCAGACTTCCGGCCAAGAAGGTGCAACGAAATCGGTCATGATGATATTCATTCCAATGCGAATACGAATACGAATACGAATACGAATACAAATATGGATAGCAATCCGTCAACAAGCCGTACAAACATCCGTAGCTGATTGATTGACCGATGGACAACGAGACAGCGAACATAATTGTACCAATACCAACTTTGATCTTGGCTTTCTTGCTCCGGACTAGTAAATTGTAACCTTGCTTTGAGGAATATAGCGAATCGAAATATTTAACATCTGAAAATGATAAAAATTTATATGTGATTGTGAATTGTTTTTATATATATATTTGTAAATTTAATGTTTGTATTAAATTTTTATGAAAAATGTTATGTCAAGTTGAATAATGACACTGTCGTTTTTACTCTTTCAGACATTTTTTCAATTAGAAAGGGATGAGCATAAAGCTTTCGAGATAACACCAACAATCTGAACAAGCGAAAAGTTTGCTTTCGATAAAAAATTTGACTTAGGATGTATTGTTTTTGAACACTTTTTTTTAATAAATGTAAACACTTGTTAAGGAAATGAACCCGCTATTTTCTGATTCGTGTTATGGAACTTTATCAATTAAATTAGAATAGATAATATAAATAAGTGGATAAACTAATGCGATTAAACTAGAAAATTCGATACTGTATAAGAAACTGAGTGAAGTGAATTGATGAAAAATGCGTTCAAAAATCGATCAATGGATAGCTCCAATTTTGTGATAGCAGGAAATTGAACCATAATCGAGAATTCACATTTTTTATTTATTCTTGTGTTATTGCCAATCTATGTTAAATGCCCTTTTGTGGGCTTGCCAACCGTTTCTAATAGAGTCTATATGCTAATTATAGTTCCGGTCAGATAGCAATAGATCGACCGGCTATTGAACCTGATCAATTATAAATAATTGTATGTAATTGTTGGGATTGGACGCACTTCCTCTACTGAGTACATATTTTTAAACAAAAACAATATACCCATTTACTATACAAATAAAGGCTCATTAAATTGTTATTTTGGATGTAATATAACTCTGAGGTGCTGGGATTTTTGGGTCTTTTTGTTAGCGGAATTTATAATTATTTTTTTTGAAAATACTGATCGTGCTACTTATTTATTTAAATCTTTGACTTAGGATCTTCTGTCTAGTCATCTTATATTCTTGACTGCGTTTATAGACTTATTTGATTTGTTATTTTATCCATTAAGAAATTTAAATTAATTTCCTATAACGATTCAGTCACTTGATACTCTACAAATGTATATCTTATCTCTCTTAGGCAAATAAATAATTAAAAATGTAACACGAAAATTGTGGTATTTTGTTTTTGTGAGACATCCATAAAATAGACTTAATCACGTTATTTTGACTTAACCGGTATTACCACGATGGACTTGCTTTTGAGTGTTTGGTATAAGTATTAAATGTGCGTTTGGGGTAGGAATTAAATATATCATAATGCCAGAATTAAGTTATAATAAGGCCATAATAATTATAATAAAAAAAGGTGTTATAATCAGCATCTTTGAAGTTACCATTAACTTAGAGTAATTCAAGATACTTAAAATAAGTAAAATAATAAATTAGAACATTGAAAGACTTTGGTTATAACACAAAACTCAACTAAAAGTATTCATCATGTTAACTAAAGTTGATACAAATGATAAAATCTGCAGTAAAATTCTGTTTAAAGTTTATAAAAAGTGAATTACAAAAAAATTTTGTCATCTGTGTCATCCAAGAATCTTAAACATTGTAGCTCAAACCATTGTAATAATGCTTAACTAATATTATTCTTATGAACATGTAACTGAATAGCTACAGCTACAGTTTTAAGTTATTATTGTTTCGATTTATAGCCTAATTTCTTAAATACTAATTTGTTTTAGTTTGTAAAGGCAAAAACAATATTGTTATTTTGGAGTATTTGTATGTATTTGTATGTTAGATTCAGCTATCACATATTTCTGAAACAAGTAACAGACAATTGCATTTCAAGTTTAATTTAAATGTAATAATATTATTATCGAACATCGATATATTAATAATTCACCGGAAAATAATCATGGCTTCAATGTTTTAAAACATATACGCAAAAATCTAAAAATAGCTTAGTAATACATATTAATAGTAAAGCCAGTGATCAATTGAACTCCATTGCAAACACTCGCTTTCGTCGTTAATTCAAACTTTTATTACATTTTTAGATTTTAGATTATCAGAACATAAAAAATCGAAACAAAGTCGATTGAAATCGATATAATATATAAAACAAGAAAGAAAGCAAACTTCGGCAAGCCGAAGTTCATATACCCTTGCCGCTATTGCATGAATTAAATACTTTTGAAAACATTTAAATTATGATTTACTTGAGTATATGCTGAAAAACATTGCAGCTATGATGATTTGCAGCTCAATTATTTGATAGTTATTTTATATATTTTTATTGTTCCTATGGGAGCTATATGATATAGTCGTCCGATTTTGATGAAATTTTAACCGTAATTCTGAAATATTTATCCATTACTATATGTCGAAGAACTAAAAAAAAAATTTAAAAACAGCAAAGTTATAATTTTGTTTGTATTTATTTTTTTGATTGTTCCTATGGGAGCTATATGCTATAGTCGTCCGATCCGGCTCGTTTCGACTTATATACTACTTGCAATAGAAATACAACTTTTGGGAAAGTTTCATGCAGATAGCTTTAAAACTGAGAGACTAGTTTGCGTAGAAACGGACGGACAGACGGACAGACAGACGGACGGACAGACGGACATGGCTAGATCGACTCGCCTAGTGATGCTGATCAAGAATATATATACTTTATAGGGTCGGAGATGTCTCCTTCACTGCGTTGCAAACTTCTGACTGAAATTACAATACGCTCTGCAAGGGTATAATTATATAAAACAATTAATCTTTAAACTCCATTGATCGTTTTTTGAGCACTCCATTGACAAGTCAACCATTTATTTATTTCACCTTTTGTGTAGCCATTATGAGTAATTACCTTCCTCCAATCACCGAGCGTTTAATAAATCTCAAAGGGGCGTTCTTAAGCTCCAGCAAACCAGCGACTTACTCTTAATTGCAGCTAGTTGTTGTGATTATTATAGTGGGTATCTGGAAATAAGCTGGGTATGCACAACTAGATTGTGTTGCGCTAGAAATTTACTTCCCATTTTGTATTTAAATTATGATTTTTAAGTCGAAAGACTAATTTTAAGTGTATTCCCGGTATATCCCGGATTTTGAATGAATTTACTTCCCATTTTGTATTTAAATTATGCTTTTTAAGTCGAAAGACTAATTTTAAGTGTATTCCCGGTATATCCCGGATTTTGAATGAAGACCATAGACAAGTTTTCTTTTTTGCCAAGTGTATTTTTGTAAGTGTCTTTGTGTTTACAAATAATAGTGCCGGTCGAGAAGAGCAGGGACAAGATCCAATAGAGTGGTGGGATGGTTTAAGTTTCGGTGGTGCAGTTCAGTAGTTGACTCCAGTATCCTCCTTGTTGGACATTTGTTTTCGAACTTTCAAGTGCTTGCCATCTGGAATACAAAATAAAAAAAATTAATGTATTTAAATAAATATTTGCTAGGTTACTACTCACCATTTGTCCAGTTTTTAATTGATTGAGAACTGAACTGCACTGCACTGCAAGATACGGTTGATCCTCCACTCAACTTGTTTGCCATTCGGTTTAAGTGTTTAACAGGGAATTTGAAGTCTACGTTCAATCAAGTATCAATCGCATTCAGTTGGCAAGCTTTGAAATGTAATTCATATATTTAACATAGCAAGAAAAAGTTGCGTTAATATTATTTACTTACTGCATGGTTAACCGGGTTTTTTGTACAATCTCTTTTTATGTCCTTTAGCAAGCATTTTTTTGTTGGGTTTTGTTTATTAAGAAAGTGTTTTTCAAAAATGTTATTTAACACTTTATGCTTAAAACTAAATTAGGCTTTTTTTGTATTGTTCAGACGGCAATTTCCTGTTTGTTATTTCCCCGACATGGTTGTGTATACTGAATTCTGTAGGGACTGATGGGTGTAAGTAGAACTCGAAATTAAAAGCATGGATAGTTTGATCAAGAAAAAGGGAACAAATTTGAAATTTTCAGAAAATGATAAGTCCATGTAGAATTTTCGAAGTCCTTTTATATGAAACCCATATCAATAAATACACTTCATTTGCTTTCACATAACTATAAAACAAGAAAGGGAACAGGCTTAAAATGGGATTCTGAAACTTCTTCAAACCCTATGGTATCTCCTAGTCGAGTCTACCCAACTCCCAAGGATAGCCACCTGTTGCTGCTGACTGGATGATATTGTTGTAATACTGGGCAGAGCCCCGGGGCAGTCTTTATTTTCTTGGGTTTCGCCTCTTGTTTTCCCGCTCTCTGGTTGAGGCTGCCACTTAATTTATTTGTCACCGAAATTTAAACCGTAATTCTGAAATACTTAATCATTACTATATGTCGAAGAACTAAAAAAAAAAATTGAAAAACAGCAAAGTTATAATTTTTTTTTTATTTTTTTGCGATTGTTCCCAAGGGAGCTTTATGATATAGTCGTCCGATTTTGATGAAATTTAAACCGTAATTCTGAAATATTAATCATTACTATATGTCGAAGAACTAAAAAAAAAAATTGAAAGACAGCTAAGTTATAATTTATTTTGTATTTTTTTCCCGATTGTTCCAATGGAAGCTATATGATATAGTCGTCCGATTTTGATGAAATTTAAACCGAAATTCTGAAGTATTTAACCATTACTTTAAGTCGAAGAACTAATAGAAAAATTAAAAAACAGCAAAGTTATAATTTTGTTTGTATTTGTTTTGCGATTGTTCCTATGGGAGCTATATGATATAGTCGTCCGATTTTGATGAAATTTAAACCGTAATTCTGAAATATCTAACTATTACTATATGTCGAAGAACTAAGAGAAAAATTTAAAAACAGCAAAGTTATAATTTTGTTTGTATTTTTTTCCCGATTGTTCCTATGGGAGCTATATGATATAGTCGTCCGATTTTGATGAAATTTAAACCGTAATTCTGAAATATTAATCATTACTATATGTCGAAGAACTAAAAAAAAAAATTGAAAAACAGCAAAGTTATAATTTTTTTGTATTTTTTTGCGATTGTTCCCAAGGGAGCTTTATGATATAGTCGTCCGATTTTGATGAAATTTAAACCGAAATTCT